GGGTTATGTAATTTGATGGCTGTTTTACATACATTTGCATGTTATTGAATGGGAAGTGAGTGAGGCGGTTGTATTACGACCGAACTCACTAACCGCACCTGTGGTGACATCTATTAAGGGGTGAATTCAGTGGCTTTTCGAGAAGTGGTTTACCTGGTCCAGGTTCAGCATGATCCAAAGCGGAGATTCGCTGCATCCCCGGCGACCCGCTATGATGCCTGATTATATATTAAGCGGATCGCCGATGTGCATAGTTTCGACCCACCCCGAAGCGTATATCTTATTTAGATAAGTGATTACATACATAAGTGAGGGCCGAGGCACATCCACAACCCCTCCTCCATACCCGTTTTCCATGCACAAACCGACATTCTGAATAATTCAAACGCGACTGCTGAAATGCAAACCACTGCAAACCGGAAACAGGCGTTTGGGGGGATGAAATATAAACAAATGAAAAATCACAACAACAAAAAATTAAAACATTCCAGTCGGCCGATAATTTTAATGGTTTGCATAAACTCTTTCGTCCACCCGCCAATTACAAATTAGGCCGCTGATTGAAATAGCACAAAATGTAAATAGCTCCACAGGAAAATAGATGAAAGCAAATCCAAACACATGGTTCATTACACAGTAATTAACTAACTATGTGTCCTTTAAACTATTTTACGCCAAACCGTGTTCTGTCCACATACTCACATACTCAAACGCACACACATCACACAACACCCGCCTCGATCCGAAAACCGACCACCGTATTAACAACAATGAATTTCTGTACGCAAATATAGCTGTTATTTCATTTGAAGCTTTTACCCAACGGCATCAAAACGACTACGAAAACAATGAAACAAATAGTTTTAATTTAACGTAATTCCTATTGATTCACTCTCATTTTTAAACAGTAGAGAAAATATGTGACCCCGAGTTCACTTTTTTACTAATTATTTTTCATCGATACAAAGACCGGGAGCATTGAATTCCAATTTTTTATATGTATACATAGAATTTTAATTAATAAACTTCCTGATTACCCCAACATTTAACTTTTACTCCATTTGAGACCGACTGTACGAAAATCGGATTCTTCTAACATTAAAATTCTGATTTTAATTCATGTAAAGTTTGATAATACAAAGCCTAAAACAATAATTATTTAAATTTGTGTAAGAATATTTACTATTTTTGTTCGGGAATCGAATTTCTTGTAAAGTTAGATAATCCATGCTGATAGCCTAAACGATTATTTAAATTTGTAAAAGATTAATTAAGTCCAATTTCTTTTGGACTATTGTAAAAATAATGTATTGCCAAATCTTATAAAAGTTGATTTGAATAAGTTTTTATATCTTTAATAGATATTGATTATTTATTATTTTTATTATATAATATTAATCCATAGTCTGCATTCTTCATATTTTTTCAATTATTAGTTCATTCAGTTAAATAATCAAAACTCAATTAATTAATCTAATACTAATTTAAATTAATTATATTTTACTCAACAAAAGATAGTTTATTTGTTAATAACTTCGTTTAATGTATTCTTAATGCTCAAGGGACTGACTTTTTAGATTTGTATAAAAGTAATAAAAGTAGAATACTGTCTATTGTGAAACTAAAATTCTGGACAGAAATTGTTTCGTTGTAATTGAATATTTCGTAAACAAAATTTAAAATTCTAATTACGTTATTATCATACAAGTTTTAACACAATCACCAAAACGAACTTATAAATATTTTGGAAATTAGATTTGGCTTAACGTAATGCTAGCTATTACTCCCATGATTGCAGTGCAAAAGAATTACACAAGATATAGGAAACTAGTGGGGCTCTGGGGACTTCTAAAACTTTGTGATAGTAGAATATCTTCAGGCTATATTATAAAACCTCTGTTATAATGTAGCAAAAGTACAAATTGTAATGTACTTAATAGTAAAGATAGATATGTACCCAAAATATAATAAATAATAATGAAAATAAATAATTCAAACTAGTTATTAGAGAAATATAATATATTATTCTTAAAATATTAATACCAGACAGACACATTTATTGAATCATTCCACTAATTATTTGAATTATTAATGGAATACACATTTCTTTATTTCATAAATATTTACATTATAATATAATCAATATTATAAAAAACGATTACCTCGCATAGTCCGGGTAACTGGCTTCGGCAATATATCAGACTGTTTGGAAATATAGTAGCAAATAAGAGCTTTGACTGTATAAAGATGTTTTAATGTTTTAAGATACTCTCTACAAAAAACCGACAAAAAAACATCAATTTTGATGATGAACTGTTGATAATGAATGACATCTGTCAGAAATAATTTGACAAGCGGCTCTTTGACATGTGACAGCAGTACACATGCACAGCGCCATCTATTGGTTTGTTCTGACAATCTTAATATAAATATTCAGTAATTCTAGAGGAACTAAATTGTCAATTATGATATAAAGAACAATTTTTTAAATCAGGTTTTGACAAGGGACCACCTTGTAGCATAAAGGGACTACCTTAATAAAGCCCCGTCCAAATAAGTTTTCAGTTACGCAGAAGAAATGAATGAATTATATTATAAAGATATCAATCGGATTTTTAGAAAAATAAATATTCAATTACCGCAAAGCTATTTATATAGTTACTCCGTAATCACGTGTCTAATTACACGCAAACGCACGTGCCATTATTATATTTTTCAATTTCGTCTAAAAATAAAACTCATACCATGAGAAAAAAAATATGTTGAATAAAAAATACAGCAGAAATCGATCGGCTTTAAAATGAAACCTATAATCACACGGTACATTATAGCCAGAACGTGTAATTCACAAAATAATTACCGTATGCAAATTGAAATTATAATGCAACGTATTCGATCCTAGTGGGGTTTCTTTTTATACACTAACTGCAGACCGTATGGGTTCCAAGCTTGATTGAAATTCCGAGCTTAAAATTGAATTAGATTTTGTGAAATCAACCAACCTTTTGTAAAAATGCGCAGGTTATTGTAGTGATATTTATTTATTTTCCACATATGCGGAGGAATGTAGACGTATGTGTGTAACCGATAATATGATTAGAAAATACAATGGGTCAGTTCAAGGAGTTCGGAATCGATATTTTCGTACTTAATTATTAAAGCGCGTGAAAGCTGATTGTAAAAACTAACAGAAAAGTTGTATTTATCGATTATTCGATGTTAACGACGTATTTTAAAACTTATCACTCAACCAAACATCCTATAAAAACAAATAATTTTATATACTCATTATCTACTTAATAATTTACTTTCAATAGAACTAATGGCGGAATTATAATGCCGTTGAAGCGCATAATGCGGGGGAGGAGGATGAGGTCCCAAATAAAAATAATGTAGGGCCATCAAATAGTAAAGCGAACTGGTGTCTAGGGCCCACGACTTTCATTTATGTGGTCCCCCGAGAACCAACACCATCATCAATTTTTGAATTATTTTTAGGGCTCTATGATTTTCAAATCAAATTTGTTTGAGTACCTTAAAACAATCCCGAACGATTAACAAACTTTTTTGTTTTTAGTAAAAATTGATGTTAAATATATTATATAATAATAACATGTATATATTTGTTTTATGACTAAATCATTTATTTCTTTTTAAACCAATCTGAGTCATTTATGTTAATTCTATAGATAAGATTCCTTAATAATACATATTATGTACGCACCATATGTATAATTGTATGTATAATTAGAATGATGTCGAATAATGTTATTTATAAAACCATGTAAATTTAATTCTAAACATCTTTAAAATTTCAAGTGATTTTATGTACATGTTTTGCTACTAAGGTAAATATGAAGCAATATGCGAGGTAGTACGTATTCTATCAGTACGGTTTAATAATATTTCTAGCAGTGTCCGTCATTATACAGCTCGTTCGAATGAAATCATAGCCAGTGTTAGTGAAGAAAATCATTCAACATCCATTAGTTATTGCAGTCAATAGTTAAGCGTTTCTAGAAGCTTTCTACAGCGAATTTTGACGAAAGATTGACATTAGTTGATCCAGGAAAAGGAGCATTACGATGACCAAATCTGCGAACAGATTTTGCAAAATGTTCACCATTATTCAAGTAATTTCTTTACAATTTTTACTCATTGTTCGATCTTCTACTTTTCTATAACTAAACAGCATATAACATCTTTACTCTGGTTTTATCGCAAAAAAAATAGTTCAGTGTGTACACGCATAAAAAAAATGTGTATACAAACCTTTTAATTATTTTATTCTTGGTTAAAAAAATAAACTAATTAAATCTTGGTTAAAAATCATCCGGTTATTATATAATTCTTATTATGTGGTAAGAAAATCTATTGGAATAAATATTAAATATTATTGGTAAAATCATTATGCAAAATTTAATCGTAAATAATGTTTCTTTGCAAAAATTTGTATAAAGGTGTTGTACATACAGTGTATTTTATTAGTGTTTCACGACTTGGGTAAATATTAAATATTTCATGAAGTTGAACATTTTTCTTTTCCGGTTCGTGGCCTATGGCCATATCTTTCGCTTTCGCGCATCCCCTTCTGCACTCTCGAGCGTTCGCAACTGTAATTTGTCTGTGTGCGAAGGAAACGCAGAAATTTTCATTAAAATTTCTACGTTGGAGGTAAACAAACCGCGCTGGTTTCTCGCAGAGGGCTGTTGCATGAAAAGGGTGGGTTTTCTAAGGCGTCGAGGCTCAATGGGCTCGAGGGCAATTGTTGTGCATGGAATTATGCTATTGAATTAGGTGCACCGAGAGACCACTCTGGAGTGGCGAGAACGGCTGAATGGGCCTTGTAACATATCCAAATTGGAGTTGCAGCTAAAAGCGAGAACGAAACAATCCGACCGAGTACTTGCCATTCATTACTCGTCTCAAGTGAACACTCACCCTCCCACACGATGAGGATCTGTACACAATTTGCCCTGCGACTAAGACGGTAATCTTACCTACGATATCCAAGTAGCCGACCTGGCTCTTCATGGGATCCGTATTGATTTGACACATGTACCAGCCCTTGTCCGACTCCCTGACTTCCTTGATGTGAAGATACCACGTCCTGTGCTCGCTGTGCGTCACACCGATCCTGTGGTTCTTCGTGATCACGTGGCTGTGGATGGTCAGGATTGTTTGAGTATCGACCCTCAGCCAAGCGACCTAAAATAAACAATAAACACATTAAATTCCCCATCCAAATACAAACAATAGGATAATACAAAATGACATTGAATTATCAATTTCACTAACTATAGTCAACTTAACACCATATGGTTGTTTTGCTTAATATGAAATGAAATTGAAATAATATTTCTACTATTTTTTGGTATCCTTTTGTTTTGTAACAGTTAACTTCCAATCTTTTTTCATTATTACATATAATTTTAATTGCCGAATGGGCTCATTGCCTACAAGAATTCACCTGGAGTAATTTTATATTCAAATAATAAATAACTTTTTTTTATATTGAATAAGTATTAAATATTATGTAACACATTTGCGATTAGAATACAAACTAGAATATGATGATAATAAATTGTATCAGCAACCAAATGTTATAGTCAGCTTATATGACTTTTTTGTAATTTTGCTATTTAAAAACATAAATTACAAGGTTTTTCTCAATGGTTTTATTAGATTATACAATTTAATGTAATTTAATAAAAATTTAATTAAAGACTTGTTGAAAAACTTATTTAATAATTCTAATAACAGACATATTGTTTAAATACTATATATTTTAAATACAAAAGAAATTTATACTAAATTAAATTACGAAAAAACATTATTTTACTGAAATAATTTCAACTATACATAAATCTTGTATTATCTTCATAAATAGACCATATAAAAAGTTAATGTATGTACATAAATTTGCTCATAACTGACAGGTGGATGGTTAATATAATATTCTGGTATTGCTTAACATGTTCCATCTGCAGAAATGCAATCGGAGATGAATTATATGCAAATGACAAGATACACCTATACAACGCACAAAATGACACTATGTCATGCGCATCATATCTAATAATACGGGGACATCCTATTGAATACATCAAATTTGCAAATCATTAATAACATAATACATTACATATACAATATAAATAAAAATAATAGATTGTGTTATTGTTTAGATTTCATAATTACTAAAAAAAATATTACATAAACTTTGTAAATTAAATATTCGCATATATTTTTGAATATCCCATTTTTTTAATATTTTTCTGTGCACATATATTAATAAAATGTGTTACAGTTTATCATTAGAAAAAATTTTCAAAGACAATATGAAATTGCTACCCTTTTAAGATTTACATTGATTCAGAAGTAGCTAATTTAAGCTCTACTTCCATTAGTCGTACTTTGTTGCCAGTTTTCTGTTCGACGATTTTATGTTCGAAAACTGAGGTGTTTTTAATTTTTATACGTGAAACAAACTGTTTAAATGTGGTTTTTTCATACTTATTTCGTAAAATTATATCATAATTAGGATATAAAATTAACCAAAACGAGAAACCTATTAAGGGACGGAAAGTCTATTGAGCTGATCAAACTTCGAGAACTGATGTTCATCTGTATTTTGAACATTTCTCATTGCCTAAAAATGTTATGTTAATTTGAACCAAGATGTCAAAATTCACCAAGAATAGAAAAATAAAGAATAGAAAGTTCGTGTAATGAGGTTCAACTGTTCAATATGTGTTTTTTTCTTCTAAAAATTTTATCGTATTTAGCCAAGATGTCACAATTTTCCAAGAGAAACAAAGATAATATCAAGATGGATTTGCAGTAGATTCGCACTGGATAGTTATGATTAAAAAGTATACAACACTGAATGCATATCCAACATCTCTCTCATTTTGTAAGAAATAAATTTATAATCTCAAAAATAAAATTGTATAATTATTACTTCAATGTTCCAATAACTATATTTTCTTTATATTGAACAAACTTTCAACATCATTAGATTTAAGTTATCGCAATTCACAAATAGCACAAAAAAAACTATATAGATCCTTATGACCTTTCGCCTACTATTTCGGACGCATCCTTTGTGATAAATATATATGAATAAATATATAGCAGAATAAAAAAGAGGAGACGTTTTGTTCCTACGTAGATCCTACTTTTATTACATTTTTATTGGGATCTTCGATAGGGGCATATTTTCTTATACATACACACGCATCGAGCCATATGCATATAACTATACATATATTTCTTTACAACCTACGGGATCTGTTATTTGATAACAATTCTTTTCAATGCCAGCAACGAGGAAAGATAAAAACGTGTAGGTAGCGTGAAATTTTATTAAGAAGAAAAAAAATATACAGAGAGGATATGGGAATAAAAACTGAGCTCGCTAGGGAGAGGAATTGTGTTCGTGGTGGGTGGTTGTACGATTGTGTGAGTGTCTGTAGGTGTATAAGTGAAGGTGTATGTTTTTAGGTGTGTATTTGTATGTGCTCGGTGTATAGGTGTATTATCGTGCAGGAACACAGGAGGGGCATAAGAGATGGCCTCATTAGCATGTTTGTCAGTCACAGGCTCATTAGTAGTCGACATGACAATTTAGATCTGTTCAGCTCGTTCTCTACACGTGATCCTCGATATAATATCCCGATGTGCGCTGCTATACGGGTTTCCTCCACTTTCACTCATCCCAACCCCTCACGCCCATCGAACGGAAAACCAAATGGAATTATTTATAAACACTTTGATATTCAATTTCGGTTCGCGCATGCATTATTTATGCATTTCCGAATTCACGCATTTTTTCACCGTAATTTAATAATGTGCGTATTTTTAACGTCGAGAAAATGAAAGAGATATACTTAACACAATTTACAAATGTACGTATGTACGTATTTGCGAAGATAGCAATTAATATTTCTTTAACCTCTACATCAACCTAATCTCTACTACAAAAATAAATATAATAATAACAATGTTCATTGTACTAATTATAGGATAATATACAAAAACGGGTTTATCCACTTAAAAATAATATTTCTTTAAATATATTTGAATCTTGCCCTTTACGCCAATAAAATTTATTTTTTGTTTTTATTGAGTTTATGTTTTGGTAATTTATTGTTTCCATAAATATTATTATTATTTGAATCTAAAAATTAATGTTTAAGTAATTTATCCATAAAAACCGTACTAAGCGAGACTATTTTTGTATAAACTCATAATTTTTTAATATATAGAAATCTGTATTTCAATATAAACACTTTTTTATTGTCAAATTCTCTAACTTTTATGTGTTCGGAGTCTTCGGAGTCTTCGGAAATTTGATCCAATGTCTTGATTTCAAAGTACATTAGCAATGTACCATTGTAAACCTGCGATTCTTCTGAGACATTTTGATTGAAATATTAGATTATTTATAATATTTGATGAGTTAGCAGTTTCCTATAATTGAATAACATATGTCCACACTGATTTCATTATTACTCTCTATATTAACAACTTATTCTCCATACTTAATTGCGAATTTGCAAACAACCAATAGAGGTTTCCAAAGTCAGCCTTGTATCCATGTGCATACCCTAGTATCTCATCCTTGAAGATGTTGGCACTAATTTATTATAGAGCCTGATTGATGGATTTGAGTCTCGTTTTACTGTAACATGTGATCAATAAATATGTTTAAATAATAATAGAAAATTAAAGTTTTTTTTTAAATTTTTGCTAGTAGTAAGCCTATAAAATTAACAGTATATTTTTTTATCGAGTCGCTCGTGTAATTTGGAACTAGCTGCATTTCATAGGCATTTTTACGTATAGTTTATTTTTTAATTAAAACTAAATTGAAGATCCAAAAACTTGAGAAGCATCAATCTTGTTGTCACGCCGTTGTTCAGATACGAATCAAGCTTATCTGTTTATATCTTGGAGAAGTCTTTGGCAAGTTTTCCCACTATCTTGGTTCGAAAGTCTTGGTGCAGTCTCGTATTGGCGATTTGCCATTGTACACTTGCGATTCTTCTGAGACATTTAGATTGAAACATTTGGATCTTTGTTGTTGCTAGTAAATACCATTCATAATAGTACTTTGTACATCAATATATTTTCAAAATCTTGTATACCAAAGTATATCAACCTTGAAGAAGTTGGTACTAGTTTGTTGAGTTGGACTGGAGAACATGAGTCTCGTTTTAAGGTAAAGTAACATGCACCGATTTTGACTGGTTAATACCAATTTGCCATTTCCTAAACCATATCTCAAGGGTATTAAACTCTTCATGAAGCTATCGAAATGCAATGAATGCCATGAATGTCATCAGAAAATTTAGCCATGTTTGTATTGTCTATTGTTGGTATCTGCAGTATATGAAAAAAATAAAATTGGACCCAAGGCATTCTCCTGTAGAACATCCGATTTGATCGGACTGTCCATTTTGATAAGAAGTTGAGTTGCCCTAAGAATTATGTTGGATATTAATGTCAGGAAAATTCTAATTTCTTCGGTATTTCTTTAAAAATTTAGGCAATTATATAGAGAGATTCATATCTAAATATTCTCTTATATTAATATAAAGACAAATAATAAATTGCTTTTAGTTTAATTTAATAGACTATAATAAATGTTTATAACATTTATACATATAATTGTAATTAGGAAAATTTGTATTTGCTAAAAATAACAATTTGATAATACAATTCAATTTGATTCAGATACTAATAAAAATATTCTATATATAAATTACTGTTACACAAAATTAAAGTATATACCTACATCTAAAACTACCTCTATAACAAACTTCGTTTCATTTTGAAATTTAAAATAATATGTTTCAAATTAGAGACAAGTCGTTACATAATCCAGTAATGGCAAGTAACAGTAGGTTAGTTGGAAACTCGAGTCTATAATCAATTAAATTGTGGAACTTGTGTGCGTTAAGCGATGCACAGTGCCGGATCGCATGTTTATATTGTATCCAAAACCGCGATAGCAATTGTAGCAAGCTGAATGCAACTTTTCAATTCAACATTAATCAATTCCAACAATTACAGGCGCTCCTCCGAAGCGGACTGCATGCATATTTGATGAATTAATTAAAATTTCTAAACGATATACAATGGTGCGAATCGCATTATCATCAACTTTCCGTTGGAAGCGTTTCCATTATTGAAACTCGAATCGA